GGTGAGTACTGATGCCACAAATAAAAATGTATGGATTTTGTTTTGACAAATTGTCTGTTTTGGCTTTGTGGGCAAATCATCTCGTATATTTTCTACATTATAACTCAATTATGTTTTGTACTTGCTCTTAGTTACTCGAATTGCATTTCATGAACGCAGAATAATTTGCGAACGCATAAATCACCGATTTCAAACTTTTTGCATTTCGTAAATATTGATAGTGACCAATCTGTTTGTATTTCAAAAAATTGTAACATGTTCCAATTAAATTAAATTAAAAAGAGAATAGTAAATAACTTAGTGTGTATTGCAGTTCATGTCATAAATGCGAGAATGCTGTATGTAAATGATATGCAAATTAATATGCAAATTTATGCTAATTAGGCCGCCCACCAGCTAATTTGGATTGTGGAGAACACTGTAAAGGTTGTCGCTAACACTGCTCTCATTGTACTTTGCATCCACCACCAGTTATGCTCACTTAGAGCAAACTTTCAGATTTTATACATAAATGTAACATGCAAATGTCTGTTCATCTTCCAAATATGAGTAGCAGAGATTATGATATTGTATTCTGGTTGTTAACTCAATTGTGTGTCACTCATCTAATTTATATTAAGAACATAAAACCACAGGAAACGATTGTAGAATTTAAATAATAAAAAAAAATCTCCTAGAAGGTTACTAATATAGTATGGATAATGTGGTTATTTAATTATGTACATACATATACATATTAATGTAGCATTTTTAGCTTTGATAAAAGTGATCTGAAATTGACTAAATTCTCATAACATGTACAATGTACATGAGTAATGCTCACTAGTGTAATTCTATGGAATAGTATTGATTGAGTTTAATGAATACAAGACTAATGAATTCTGGGTCATTAATTAAGTACATGTAGCTTAATAAATAGTCGTGCATTAATTGTCAAACTGATGTGTGTTATTGTCACATTATAATGATTCTCAGTCTCTGTTAACAATTCATCACTTGTTGTCATTGACACTTCAATCCATGTGATTAATTACAGATAGAAAGAGAACCCAGTTTAGCAGTCCCGGATTTACTCATACAAACGATGATTATACATTACTGGACAAACAAAGTGAAAGGTAAAATCAACCAATCACCATGCCTTTTAAGAAATTGAAAAGCCAATCAGAGTACGTGTGATCTGAACAATGTTCAAAACAATACTTTCCATTCATTTCCAGTCTGATGAAAATCTTATGTACGTGGAGGCCAGTAGGGGTAGTATGTGTACATGCACAAATCTTATTCCACTAGCCAAACAATTCTGAATCAGTTTTTGGTACAAATCTCCGCATACTAAGTCAGCTAAGTCGTGGGTAGTTGTTCTGTTGTTCAATTCTGTTGTGTTCTACCGGCAGTTTTGAAGTAAAAGAACTAACGTTTCATTGCATCTTGTATTTAATTGGCCGTTAAAGGGCTAGAGGAAACAACTTAACACTTACTGTCTGTCAATTACTGAAGGGTGACAGCGGCCTGACTCAAGGTGTGATGGGGATGTCAAGTCATGACTTTACATACTTCTTGGCCATTGATATACATGTAGCTCTATGAAACTTGCTACAATAAGTTGAATCCATGCCTGCATGGATGATGTGATGTTTTTCAATAAAGAAAACTTAATATAAATCTGTGTGTGTATACCGGGTACATGTGTATGTACTTTTTATCCATTTTCAATGCATGAACCCCCTTCACGAGGCCTCTCGGTTAATCGTGAACCCTGATTCCAGTAAGTCTTGGTTTTTGCTTGGATCCCAACAATCGTGACTTAGCTAGAAGTCACTATATTTTGTTAGCTGTCTGTATGTAGAAGTGAACAGTACCCATGTACGTGGAATTGTCATCCTGCTTGTATGTTTCGTTCTAGGCCTAATCCTGTACAACAACCACAGGTTGCTTCTTTGCCGCCTCCTCCAAGCAAAGAAAACATTCGAACTGGTCAAGTTGTATTCACCAGACAAAGGGTAAGTTGTCGTCTTCTATCCACTATCCACTGACTATAAATCAAAGGATAATACATGTATGGTGAAAATTTCATTGACTTTTAAGAGATGTGTGCAAAGGTGGTAGTCATCAAAATCACTCTAATTATTTACATTCATTGATCCATGTGTACTTACTAATCAGAAGATGAAATTGACTGCCCATTTGATAGGTTGGAGAGTGACTGTTCCAATAAAGATGTACTGATTTACAGAAGTGACATGATTTGTCTAAATGGCGCATGGAAGTTTAAAAAACTTAAAAGCAGTTTTATTTTTTAACATTTGCCATAAGGCCAGGCAGTTTCTTAATATCCTTGTCCCAGCTACAATCTGCTATTTTGGGACAGGTAGGCAGTTCTTAATTTAAACTCAGACATCTGTTATGTATTTGTGTATGTAACACAATATTCATGCATTAAATGCAGACAACCTTTTCACACTGCACCACATGCAGACTTTCGTTTTCATAAAAGATATTCAAAATTTATAACCACTACAATTTGAATTTTAAATTTAAGAAAAGTTACGGAAAAGTAATGGGACTGTAAAACAGTTAAAATTGTTGCTGTTCTTTTGTATAATGATATAGATTAAATGGACAGGGCAGATCAGCTCCACCTGTTTAGATAATGGTATGATCCACCACAATGTATTACATAGGCATGATAAGTGCATTCATGTTCGACTGCAGTCGCTTTTCTTAAGTCAGACATCCCCACTTATTGTTGTCATGGTTACTTCATGTCTCTTATTAGGATATAGCCACTGGACTATTTTGTTGTCTATGTCGCATAATTAACACAGTGTATTTATTCCAGTATCATTTCTTTATGTGTGCGATCTTTTCTGCATGTTTTGCTTTGAATTATCACGTAGGTTGAATTATACTTGAATAGTGAAAATTTAATTTATCACATTCATGACTGTCATTTTTCATCGATAGGTTGAGATCAAATTTTGGTTTAAATGGTCTCATCATCAAATGGTTTGAGTCGTATTTGAGTAACCGCATTCAAAAAGTGAAAATTGGAAATGTATTTTCTG